GGATAAAACACCCTAAAGAGTATCTTAGCTAGCTGACAACTCTGTGTAGCCGTAACAATTATGAATACTGTAAGGTTTTAAATGTACTGTTCTAGCCTGTTCCATGTCCACATAACTCAGACTTATGTAGAATGCTGGAAGAACCTCTCTCCTGTGTTATATGTCTGATCTGGTCAACTGCACTGTGATGACAGCAGAATTCAGCTGGTTTTGTACCAACTTGATGCAGTTAGTCTTTGAAGTTCATTGCTATGAAATTGATCTGAGCTGCGGTAAGAAATCGAGTGATGTGTGGAAATTGTCTCACCCCAATGTCTTTTCATATTCTTTTAGTGCTGCTGTTGCTTTCCCCTGCCCTCCTCTCCTCATGTTACTGCTCCTTTCATTTGTAATTTTTATTTTGTATGCTGACAGAGGCAAGGATTTACACGCCTGGTCTGAAATACCCAGGTGTCCTCATCAAGATGCACCTCAGAGCCAATCTGGTCTTAAAAGAGTAATTAAAATAAGTCCCGTGATGGTTTCATCCAGAAGTCTTGCCACTGCTAAGCTGTCTGCTCTTTTGTTGGGGCATGTGCATATCATGTAAAAAACATTTAAAAAGAAAAGAGCATTTTGATAGCGACACAATTACTTTTACAAATTCTATTTCCTCTGCCTAGACAGGCCATCAGTTTCAAATCTTAGTTTTAGTTAAAACAAGAAAGAAATCTGAAGCTGTTTAAATTGCAGCAAACTACAAATGATGTAAAATAAAACTATTTTCATTTAATATTTCATTATGTACATTATATTTTAGTATGTATCATACACTATTTTTTCTAAGAAGTCCCTAACCAGGATTTTAACACCAAACTTATGTGGCAAATAATTTTTTAATCAACAATTCCTATCTTTCCTTACTCGCACCAAGGAGCATTGGTAGGAGTTAACTCTTACCTTTGTATCAGTTATCAACATTCTCTGCCTTGGGAAAAAATGCATACTTTAGAAGTCAATAAAAAAATGGACATTTTAGATCAAAGACGAGAGTGAATGCACAATTGGTTAAGATATAGCTATTCTATCCTTTTATGAAGCTCAGCACTTTTTTCAGCCTGCAATTTTGTACCTTGTTTTATTGACCCATTCATACAACAGTGACCCTGTACACTAGTCAGGGAACACGTATCAATATTAAAAATAATGGTTTTATTACGTTCCATCTCTTGGGCAACGTGTTCCTGAACATGAGATATTCCAGATAAATATCTGATCTGTGGGCCTTCAGGCTAAGTAGAGAGAGGCAAGTAAGGGACATTATCCTGAGAGATCACCAGACTCCTTCAGGAATTATTCTATTTTACAAAAAAAAAAGCTCCATGGTCCTCAGAAAGCATTCCTTGTATGAATACGAGTATCTAGAACCACTTCAATGCTCAGTAGTTCTTAAGACATAACTTTCACACTTGGCTGCAATTCTCGGGGTCTTCAATATTCACTGTGACACTTGGGCTATTTTAGCTCTGGTTTGGGTTGGAAAAGACCTTTAAAGGTCACCTAGTCCGACCTCCCTGCAATGAGTGAGCACATCTTCCACTAGATCAGGTTGCACAGAGACCCATCCAACTTGACTCTGAATGTTTTTGGGGATAGGGTAACTACCTTCCCCCTGAGCATCCTGTGCCAATGTTTTGCCACCCACATAGTAAAGAATTTCTTCCTAATATCCAATCTAAATTATCATTCTTTAAAACTATGAATCTACTAAAAATTTGTCCCCGTTTTAGTCTTTAAGTATTAGAAGGACACAATAAGATCTCCCTAGAGCCTTCTCTTCTCCAAGCTGAACAACCCCAGCTTTCACAGCCTTTCGTCATAGAAGAGGTGTTCTAGCCCTCTGATTATCATTCGTGGCTCTTCACTGGACTCACTACAGCAGGTCCACATCCTTCTTATGTTGGGGACCCCAGAGCTGGACACGGTCCTCCAGGTGGGGTCTCACCTTAGTGGAGCAGAGGGGTAGAATCACCTCCCTCACTGTGCTGGCCACACACTCAGAATGCTTTTTTTCTTTTTTTTTTTTTGAGAGACAACAATTAGTATGCTCTTCATGTGAGAAATATATAAGCATGAGAAAACCCAACAGAAACTAACATCACAAAATCACAAGGCAAAGCTTACTTAGCTTACTTTTAGCTTCATGAAGATGCTAAAACCAAATTAAACTGAAGTGTCTGACGTGGTACCTCAGAAGTTCCCTTGTATTCCACTGGTAGAGTTATGCTGCCACCTATTGTGAAGATGAACCTGACACTCATGTCACTTTGCTAGGACACGTGTTTGCAATAATTACCACTTGTCTTTCTGTTTTTCCTATTTAAAGTACTTTCTTCTGAAGTATCTGCTACTGATCACTGCTGAGACAGGTCGCAGGCATAAGTGGCCTTTTGACCTGACCAAATACAGGTGTTCATACATTTTGATCTCTCATCTCCCACAACGTACAGTTTAATTTGGCTCATGAACATGACTGTCCACTGCTGCCAGCTCAAAGGCTGGTTCAAAATGAGAACCCTGTTTCTCTACTCCAATTAGCGGCCAAGCAATGCAGCAGCCATGGCCAGGGAGGCAGCATGCTCTCCCTGCCATAATGCTCCAAGATGTGCTTTTCCTTCCTCCTTTGAGCAAGGAGCACAGGACTGTAGGTTAGTACCTGGAGCATGTTCCATGAAACTGAGACAGTATTTGAACTCTAATATAAACTCATGACTATGCCTTTAGGACACCTCTTCTTCCTCACAAGCACAAGAGTACATATTGTGCTCAATTCCAGCAGCTTCAGTCACCAGCCCTGAGCAGGAAGTTCTGTTGCCCAAAGCTTTTTTGTGTGCACAGAATTTAGGCAACCTTACTTAGGAGGGCAGCCTCAGGAGGCCCAGGCCACCAAAGCTCTAGAGGCTCACACCATGAGCAAAGCAGAAACAAACTGCAATGGTATTTCCATCTCTCTAAAACTGAAGTAGCTTGGCACTGGTCAAGTTTTGCAGTTCTCAATGTACCTTTCCACACCTTTTTACTTTCTGTCTACCTTGGCATGATGCATATACACTCTGTTCCTTCACTTCTCCAGTAGATCAGCTAAGCCAAGACCTAGGCATTAGGCCACCACTGCCATCCTAAGGTCACTTAGCTGGGAAAAAGAGGCCATCTGTTCACTCACAGGAAGCAGTGTGCATCATCACATGCCCTTATGCTCTCATCTTTCCAATCCTCCCCATGGTCTGCCTCATTATTAATTTTTTCTTCCAGCTTTAGGAATCAAATAGTTTGTACAAACAATAGGTTTGTACAGTCTGCAGCACCACTGCAAATCAGGAGCAGTGCAGTACTTAGAGTCACTCCTGGTCAGCTTGGGTAGCTGCTCAGGCCAACCAACTAGTGGGATTTTCACATTTACCTTTAGGGCATTCAGCAGCTTCCAAATCACTCAGCAGGAGAGAGAATCTGTCTTGAACTGCAGCTGTAGTTAAACCTGACTGCACAGACAGTGGTGGTGCAGCCAGGGAGGACAGCCAGGTGCAAGTGCTGCCAGCAAAAAAAGCCTCAGAAGAATGAGGTGTTTCATAGTGTTTGCTGTGCCAGAGGGTATATATTTTTACACTTTTGAATTGATAAATGCAACCAGGATCTGTCAAAGTCAGGGTTGTTTGCAGCACAGAGGCAAATGAGAGTATCAGCAACTCAAGATGGTACTGTAGGTAGCACACTGTACTTTCAGAGTAATATGATAATTTACGAACTCCTTGGACATGTGTTTGCACTCCCTTGTGTCCAGGGACAGGACATGAGGCACTTGCAGCGATGGAAGCTGTGTGATGGTGTCAAGGACACCTGGGCTCAACACCCCACCATTATTATGGGAGTTGCCTCAAGAAAAAAGAGGTTGGGTTCATAGGCAACTTTCAGCCTCCTCATCACCTTAGCTGGTTTCTCAAGAAGTAGTTTGTTCTAGGGAGTAGGCTGGGATAAAGATCCAAGATAGTCTGTGGTCCTCAGCTCCATAGATAAGCTGCAGCTAAGCAGCAGGAATTAGAAACACTGTCTATACAGTAAACTGAGGCAACAGAGTCTTCACTACTCTTCTCTTCCTGAGCACAACCTGAGCACATTCAGATACTACATTGTTATCAGACCCTTCAGCTGTAAGCTGCACACACATTATTTGCACGGCAGTCAGAAAAAAAAAAAAAAAGTATGTTTGGGTTTTAGCCCAAATCCAGGAGCCATCACATTAAGATAGGCTTAACTGTTCTGAAAGAGCTGAGGTCCAAGTCCTGGGTCCACTACACAAGGTCAACCTCTATCTCCCAAGAGATGTATGTATCTTAAAGAAGTTTAAATCAAGATACAGTATCATGACTTCAGACACAAGACTGACCTCAGTTTAAGTCAAATACTCTCAGCTTTGTCTCAAAAGTGACAGATTCCAACCAAAACAGTACCTTTGCCAAAACATTCCATGATCCCATCCCTATACCCAGTGGCAGTGACTCATCATTCTCAGTGATAAAGGACAGTACATGCACACAGGTACTTTTTTTCTTTTTTTTTATTGCTGTTAATTCAAGGAAAAAGGTTGCATAAAATCCAATCTCTTCTAGAAATATAAGTGACCTTTCCAGTACATTTCAAATATCAAAGTATATGGTAAACATACAAATAAAGAGAAGGTAACATACCTCCTATTTACAGTACAGTATTTTAAATCATAAAATAAGTTCCATAAAGTACAACTGGCAGGTAATTCACAATACAAGTCCATTGGTGGTTTAACACCCTCACTTAAACTCAAACGCAGTTCATTCATTTCAAGTGGTCCAAAAATACCCAGATCAAATAAAAATTTTAATCAAAATAATTTTCATTTACTACTTAAACTTTTTTTTTTTTTAAATTAAAGCTTTCATCTACCTCCCTCCCCATTCCCCCCCTCCAAGAAAAAAGTTTCAAAATGTACACTGGTGCTATAAATATAAATGCTACCTATGAAGAAATGTAGTAATCAAGCTTTTTTTTTTTTCTTCAAGTTTTTTGTTTAGCAATTTATTAGACGGCTGAACCAAAGACTGATTTTTATTTCATCCCTCTACCGGACACTGGGTCTGATTTTAAGAAAAAACATTTCTGCCATGAACTGTGAGGAATGCCAAACCCTATGGATATACAGTGGTAGTTGTTCATCGGTGTTGAATGCAGCAGTCAAAAAACACACTCGTCTTCCAGATAACCTCAGTGCACTTTAGGAAATCAAATATTACCTGGAAGCAATTTAGTACATATATTGGCTTTTAAAAATAAAATAAAAAATACAGCAGCATTAAACTTACTCATGATACTGACATGTTTAATACCATCTTAACACTCATTTCAGTCTTTCACATTATACCGTAATTACGCATAGTGGTAAATTGTTATAAAATAGTGACTTTGCTATTTGGTAGACAGGTTCTAATACTAATACCTGACTATTTTGTAGAAAACCATAGCTTTTGTTCAGTTTGAAATAAAACATTTACATTCTAAGTACAATGCAACACTGTAACAGTTTAGGAAAAAAATAATCAATCAAGTAATGTTCATTCTGTGTTGACACGATGTAGAATAGCTTTAAAAAAGGAAAAAATGCTGTCAACTTTCATTACAAATGCAAACACACTGAGTACAACATTCATACCATTTTTTTCACCTTTGTTGCTGAACATACAGGCTAAAAAGCTACAAGGGAAGAAAAATCTGTCAATTTAAGCTCGTTCATTTTTCTCAATCTGTTCCAGTCCACACAGTTTCAGCCCCTTCCTGCTCTACGTATTTTCATTTATTTGGGCCTCTTGAGAGCTGCGTATGTGAATTATTATCAGATATTGTACACATACAGTATTGTGTTTTCCTTTGGACTCTGCTAATAGAACGTTTGAACATCTCCCCTCAATTCATGAGCATTAAATTTAGAGTACGGGCAGGGTCTGTATGAACTGCTAAACACTCATGCAAGTCCAACGAATCCACGTGGACAACCAGGGAAAGAAAAGAAAACAGCAGCATAAAGGAGAACAGGGAGGGAGGGAAGAAGATTGTGGTGGGGAACACGACCAAGTTTCTTCTTTCACCATATGGCTGCTCCACCAGTGATGTCAGAGGTCAGAGGAATTTTTTTTTTAAAAAAACTGCAGTAAACATTGCACATGTCTCAAGTCTTCAGTGCAAAAGCATGGTTTGAATGCTCTGTCTGATTGTTTGGCTGTGTGTTTGAATTACATGCATTATGCAAGCCTTTTGTAGAACCAGGAGGAGACCAGGGACTCAGCTTTCTTCTTTTGTACGGAACAGAGGTGCAAAAGCAATGAAAAATTCCAAAAGAACATAAAACCGGGAATGTTCCAAAACACAAGACCAGCCCCTCCCTCCCACATACACCTTCCCCCAGTTTCCCAAGCTTCAGTTTAAGTAGGCAATGTTTACTTGTTTCAGTCTGCAGAATCCAAGGTATCATTGGAAGGGGGAGGGGGAGGTGCGTATCTCAGTCTGTAAGTGCCTAAAACAGGAAAGAGAACTACTAAGTCACTGCTCACAATTAAAATGGATTACAAAACCACTACAAGGTATCAAAATGGACATGCTCTTCAAAAGGCACTATCATCCTCCAGTCCTTTTAAAGTAGGTCCTTAGACTTTACCCTGTTTTCTTTCATCTGCTTGCTAGAACTGTAAATTTAAAAAAGATATAGAGCATAGATCTGGGACTTGAGCTTTACTGGAAAAATGCAAAGAAAAGATGATCCCCATCAAGGTTCATCTTTCCTGTTCCACTCCAGTCAAACAAGTGAAGTCAGAATGGGCACAAGTACAAGAACCAAAAATAGCTTATGCTCTATGCAAACACTGCATTTCCCCCCATTCTTCTAGACGGAAAGAGAAATTGAAGCCATTCCTTTGATTTTTAGTTTCAATTGCTTTCTGCCTTTTTGCTGCAACTTGTCTGAAAAGTTAAATGTATTGCATGATGGGACACAGAAGGATAGCTGACTGTGCAAAGGTAAGCCTTAGTTAGATTATGAAATGGTCAGTCTTTAAATTCTCACAAGTTTTAGAAATCCAAGGTCATATCATAGGCAGCAATTGATATATTTCACTTTTTGCCAATGAATTCTCTCAAAAAAACCCCCACTGAATGGGAATGCAAAAACTGAAACAACATGCAAGTCTCGACATATTGTCAAAAACAAAACAGTGAAAAAAGAAGGACAACTTAGGACTGGTATAATTTGACTTTCCAGCTTCAATTCATATGCATTTTCAACTCCATGCTGTGAACCCCGTTCCCTTGCACTGTTCTACAAGATTTTCAGGCAGAGATAAGATACTTTGCAGTTTTAGAGCAGGTCACTAGTGCACAACCATTTACACAAAACATACACACGCACGCACACCTTTCTGCAAGACCAAAACCAGCACATTCAGAAAGGTAAAGAGAAACTGCTAAACTCAAAAGCAAGTCCGCTGGGAGTTATCATGATTACCTTGTTGACTGGCCTCCATGGATGACTGCTTACAGTCCTGCGCATAGTGTCCACTTACACCACAATTGTAACATGAAACATTCCCATTCTTCTTGGGTCCTGACCCATTTGTGTTGGCAACTACGTTAGGTGCTGGATATACATGATAGAACCTCGAATATCCTGCCATCTGCTGCATACCATAGTTGGCTTGGCTCCCCATCACTGGGTCATGCATAAGCCCATTTGCATATGGAGACTGAGGCAGGAAGAACGGAAGTTGTGTTCCATTGCTTTGATGTGCTTGATTGAGGTAGCTGCCATTGCAAAGTGATGGCAGAGGGAAGAAAGGTGGAACTCTGTAGACTTGTCCATGAAGTGGGTTATGATAAAAATAGCTATTAATCTGAAGGCTGCCATTGGTCCCACAGCTACACCTACGTCCACAAGAACCACAAGGACCAGATCCCAACTGCTGCGGAGGTAACATTGTCCCGTTAGTGTTATTATTCCCAACAGCGTTTATGTAGGATGTGCTGTCACTCTGTGCAGTGCTGTGTGTTAGAGCGGGGCTCGGGCTGGGGGCAGGGCCTGGCGTGTGTGTTGGTATTGCAGGAGGAACAGTGGACTGGACCTGACCAACACCTAAGCCAGCGGACTGAGGTGGTGAGGAAGTTGCTCCAGTGTTTAGCACGTTTGTATTCTGGTTGGGCAACACACTGGTAGCATGAGGACTGCCTGGCAAAGCGTACGAAGCTGGTGGAGGTGGCGGTGCTGCTGTGGAGAGACCAGCTGCTGGAAGAACTACCTTTAGATTGGTAGGCTGAGGGATTGCTCCTGGGTTTCCCTCAATGTGAGGCACCATTTGATTCAGTCCTACCACCTGGGATGCAGGTTTTGTGATGGGATCTGTAGTAGGAACTGGAGATCCTGGGAAACTACCTGGATTGTGGACTGGGATAAAGGCAGTATTTGGTGATCCAATACTTAAGTTTCCTGTCGGCTGCTGTGGTCCATTAACTGTGCAACTCTCCGATGATCCCTGTGGAGAGGGCATTTTCAATCTGTGTATTGCCAAATGCAAAGCAGGGCTACCAGGCTGGACAGAATGTGGAAGGAAAGTGGATGGGACTGGCAAAGGGGAAGCCATCAGCTCAAGACGTTTCTCAGGTTCACCGGAGGTGACTGGGCCCATTCCACCAGGCGGGGAATTCGCAGACTCTCTCACTGGCGAGACAGCAACAGGCGTGGTAACGAGCATTCCCATCGTTTTACCATCTGCAGATATGGGTGGTGGGACAACTGCTTCCGGCTTTTGGGCAGCGCTGTGCATCACACAGTGTAAGGCAGGCATGAAGGAAATATGCTGAAACTTTGCATTCAAAGGATCTTCTGAAAGGCTCCCATTTTCATTACTCACTGAAGAGATCTGAGCAGATGATTTGTTCATATTTGATGAACTGACAGCACTGTAGCCTGTAAACCTGGTTGTATTTTGATTCCCAGAGTCCTCAGAATTGCTGTCTGTATCTATGGGTACAAAAGCATTTGCCAGTTAGAAGAATGAATCTCAAGCAATAGAGAATCATGCCCTGGCCTCATTTACCCATATAAAACCTCATAAGTTTGATGACATGAATGATAGTTAAGTCTTCCTGAACTGTAACAACTTTGAGATTCTTTTCAATCATCCAAATTAAGCTAGGTCCATCTCCATCACTTGCCTATATATCCACCTGCCTAACTAGCTACTGTGTCTTTGACTTGTGTGTATCTGCAACTGTGAAGAACAGAACACAGACCGAGTTATGAATTTGCATCTGCCTAGAAAGTCATTACCACAGCTTATCCAAATTTGGAAAGAGTGGTAAACTATCAGTACAAAAAGACAGAGCTCTCAGACATAACGCACAGAATTTGATATAAAACCAGTCCCTTTCATGCCAATGTTTTTCACATTACTGTACTGTGGAAATTTCTCAAGAGAGCTATGCCACTGAGGTAAAAAAATTACTACATATATGTAGTAACCTAAAACTCAGTGGTATTCAAACAGTCCTGCTATTTGCTAGAAGCTGTCAAATCATCCAGTCATGAACCCACAAAGCAAAATGTATTCTCTGGCTAGTTCAGAAAAAAAAAAGGAGATAACAAAACTAAAAAACTAATTAAAATTAATACAAGTAAGAGATTAGTCTAGGAATAAAGGCATTTATGCACACTTTCCATAAATACAACCTCTGTCTTTTTCTTCTTCACTATCAAAGCTTTCCCTCCCATCATGTCGTGGACTAGAAGGAGAACTGTAACTTTCAGATGATGTTTCTCCACAAGTGTCATGACCAGATCCAGCGTCCAGATTCAGATCTAAAAATAAAAGTTGTCATTTTTATTTTTAATCTCAATGTATGGAAGCAAGGTTATTTTGGGTTGCTCACATCTCATACTAGTTCAGATTTTTCCCTGTTCCCACTTAATGGCATCTGTCCCCTGTATTGCTAGCATTTCCACCCCCAGCATTCAGGACTGGTCTTGTCCCTAAATTTGTGATGACTGAATCCCTGGTGTTACAGAAGGTGATACTGAAAATCGATATTTATGCAAAGTAGTGAAAAGAACGATGACCCTTAATGATTTCTGTGATGCTTATATCAGATTGCACTACAACAATAATTTCCTCTGAATGGTAGTGATCAAACATTTCCATTCGAAGAGCTGCAATGCTCCTCGGTCCTACCAGCGCAGGCAGAAAGCTAACTCAGCAGGGAACATCAAAACAATACAGTATTTTACAATTCACTCTTCTAGAACAGGCTTTAAAGCAAACCCTGTCAACAAATCCTGTTTAAAGAAAGAGAGGTGAACTGAAAAAGTGTTAAATTGTTTTCTGATTTCTGAATGGATCATGGGACACTCATTTGCTGCAAACCAGCTTTCAGAGTCAGTAGCTACCATGGTTTGGCTTTCAAGTTCAGCCTCAGAGGGGAAGAAGAATGACAAATTCACCCTCCCTCAGAATCTATGCCAGACACTAGCTTCAAAGAAACCCCAAAACACAAAACATTGATCGGCAAAATTCCAGCACAAAAATTAGAACACTATTACTTATTTTATGAATTACAATAATAGTTTATAAATAAAATAGTATTTTAAAAAAATTTTATTGCTACTGCAAATTTAACAGGTTGGGATGGGTCATCAAAAAGCTGCCTTAATGTTTCAATTCCTGAAATAATTTCCTTGATTAAAGCCGTAATTGGTTAAATTATTTTAAAAAGTGCTCTGAATATCTAATATAATCTGGATCCCCAGTCTCAACTTCCAATCACTGAAAACCAGAGTCTAAAGTGCTGGTCACAAAGCATCAAGTCTTAAAAGTAACCAGTGTAACTAACCCATGCCTCAGAAAAGCTAAAAATAGGGATGAAAAATGGAAGAAAACAGGATGCAGTTAAGAGTTATGGACTCAAAATAGGGCATTTCAAATCAAGCCTGGATATACAAAACTATGCAGAGATTCAGACTGCAACATGATTGTTTTTCATTAGACTATGTCTCCAATAAGTATCTCAAAAGACATTTTAACGTTTATACATAGGTAGAAAGCCCATCTCTGAGCATGACATAATGGCTTCTAGCCTCTGTGGGTTACAGCTGCTTCTTGAACCAGCCAACAGTGATCAGGGAGGCAGTCTCACGCCTGTAGAGTGGTGGGTAGTTAGTAAACACAACTATGGCAAAACATTCCCCATTTAACTTTGCACTATGTCACCCAAACTTGCACCACCTCCTAAAGTTATTGTCAGTTCATAAAAGCTTAGTGCCTGACTACAAAAACAGTAATCAATCTGAAATGTACGCAGCAAAGTTCTGCTGTAGAGTATGATTTCTGTTTGTACATCCCTTAATTATAGGTTTGCAAAATTGTTCTGGTTTTGCTAAGTTTGTGAACTGAATTCTTAAAGTTTTAGTCAAATACTGTTTGTAGAAGGTAAAAACGCTTGCCCAAAAACCACATCAGTAATTCCGAATGGGATCCACCTGGAACTCTCAAATGTAAGAAGCAGAGAGAAGAAAGAATGAAAGCCTAATCAAGATTGTACCACAAGTGGAAGCAACAGAAAGACAAGGCACTTCTAAGAATCCTTTCAACACTTATGCCAATTACGTGATGTAGGAAAAGGCAAACTCTTTGTCAACCTTCTGTCAAGATTGTTGAGAGAGGCATGTAAGAGAGGCAAGGCTGCAATTGATATTGTGAACTTAGAAAATGTCAGGAAGGCAAAGTCAATGGGTAGACCTTTAGAAATTTGTAATAAAGCTTGGTGACTCAATTTACTAAAGGAACACAAATATAATTTTGTCTTACAACTGACTGATGTACACAAGTTTTGGCCTAGACACTACATTTTGCTGGGCCAAACCTGAGAACCCTGTTAGGGCAGCATACACAGTTCTGTGTTGTAGCTCAGTAGTCACTTGGTTTACACACTACAGTTCATCAACAGTTTGCACCAGAGGTTTTTATAAAGGTTCCTCGTGGGTCACTCCACAACAGATGAAGAAACTAGTAGGCTGCAAAGAGAACACTAATGACAATATAGTGGGGCTCCACACTCCGCACACTCTAGACTGCTAAATTCCATACAGAAGTAGCCCAACAGTAACTGTTTCTGCAACTACTACACCACATAAACCAACTCATGGAGACTTTACTAGTATTTTACCACCTACTTATGAAAAGAGACACACCCTATGCAACTGCATACACAAGGCTGAGTCTAATGTTCTATACAGCAAGTCAAAGCACAAACTAGACTACCAACATGCTGACTTTCACCAAAACACATTTCAGACTCGTGATTTCCCCTTTACAGAGGAACTTTGAATAAATCAGCAAAGCTGGAATTCTGTTTCTCACAAACAGCTTGGGGAAAAAACACCTCACCTTTTGCTGTCCCAGTACGGATGTGCTGTGATGCTGCAACTCGAACTCCATTGCTCCTGTTATTCAACCTGCACTCAGTTTTCTTTGCTTTCTCCCTGTGTAAATAATTTTCATTGGTTTTTTGCAAATGCATGGACACAAATAACCTACCATGAATGAACATACAATGTGACCATAAACAAAAGCAGTGACTCCAGGCCAGAATGTATTTAATAGATATAACATGAAATTTAAATAATAAACGAATAAGTAAAGGCTGTTGGTGCAATATACCAGGAACTAAGCTGCAACCAGTGTTATTAAACACTATGAATAAAGATCTAAACAAGAAACAACACAAAAAAGGAAATGGTGCAGCTGATGCCGTACACCAGTCTAGCATAAAAGTATCTGTCTATAGAGTAACAAAATGGCACAAACTCTAAGTAAGGCAGAGTATTAGGGTGGAAGCACTTGCACTTCTCACAGTGCAGGGTTGTGTAGCCCACAGGAAGTTCTGAAGCGCTCTGATGTGCAAATTCTCTTCGATAAAACATTTCAGCCAGATACCACCCACTGCATAATGTTAAATGCTGCTGTCAATCCTTATTTGCTTTTCAGTGTATCTTGGATAGTTTTACAGCCTTTAACTTTCAAATAAATATAAACACAAAAAGGCAATTCAGTATTGCTTAAGAACCTACTTCCACTCCATCTTTTTGCTAAATGACAAGGGATATTTTGAGAAACGAATGCATTCATTTACATTCTCTTTTTCAAGTTACTTCTTCACAGAAAATAAAGATTTTTATGTAGCCTGGCCTCACACTACTCCAACTCTTGTTCCACAATACCAAAAGAAAGCATGTAATTGATTGTAGACTCTCTTTATCAGAGTCAATGCATCACACTCTGTTTCTGGATTACCAGTCACATTGGAAACCTACTTTTCCAGCTGTGGCTTTCCTTTCTTCTTGCCTACTGCAGACAGACTTCGTTTTTCCACTGTATGCTAGACATAAAATACAAAGATGCCAGTCAAACAATAGAATTTGTATTATGAAAGCCGACAAAAAACCCTTCTAGATCAACAGGTCCATGAGTCCAAGACTAGTGCGCTCAAAAGTGCTATAACCATCCAAACAAGTACTTGTTCAATGCACCTGGGCCTCTAAAATAATGCATCTTGTCTTGTGTTGTGTTCAGCAAAACACTCAGAAAATTGCTACTTTAGAATTACTACTAGCTGTTAGTAATAACTCATATTTGGCAAAGGTATCAATCAAATTATTGTTTGCATGGTGTCTTTCCTCTTGAGGATAAAAACAAATGTGTTTCATCACATACCTGCTTAAAAGGCTAATCACCAGGCTTAAGGAGCTACAAAATTTATTGATGTAAATGGAATTATTTGATAGCTGGGGGTGGAAAGCACTTCTGACAAATTATTTCTACATAGTGACAAGCAGGTATCTAGCCTTAAACTGGAGGTTTAAGCTAGTAAACTCTAGAATACAACCTTAAAGCACATAAGAAAAAACATAGCATCTACACAATTCTTCAAGTATGCTATTACTAGCTATTAGTAATAACTCATATTTGACAAAGGAGTAAAACTTGTGAAAACTCTGAAATAATATGTCCAAATCATTGTATTTGGACTTCCTTTAAAAAGAAAAGAGCTTTTCCTCTGCTTTAGTAAATTAACTTTTTTCTTGCCTCAAGCTTTCAGTGTTTCAGGCTTTGATGCAGCTTACCATTTCATCTTTAGAAGCAAATCTCAATTCATTACCCTGCTTTGTGAAATAAGGAAACTATTTTTGTTTGGCTTGCTATTCCCCACATAACAATCAATAGCCACATTCTGCATGTAGTATAAGAGTAACATTAAGCAATCCTAACATCCAGGGCTTTTCAGATATAAGCAGTGAGCAACCCTCCTTCCCCCAATTTCAGTAGATTATTTATAAATATTCTTCTCAACTGTATTCACAATGAGATTGAGCACTGAAGAGACACAAATCTCACAAAAAGTGTATATGCATCTAGCTATTAACTTTTTTCAAAGATTAATACTTAAGTTACCAAAATAATGCAGGTAAGATAGAAAGAAAACATTTAACCTGTTGTACCTCCTGTAGAATTAATACAATTTACTTATTAATACAGTTTCTAGTTTGTTCCTTGCAATAACAGAAATTGCCCAGGTGTTCTGAAATCCTCTTTGATGACAATACTACAGTAATAGGAAAGTGCCTGATCAGAAATTAACATTAGACTTTTCTGGTTACTTGTATCCTACTGCGAAGTTTTATTTAATTCATAAACAAAATACGCAACTTTCTGAGACAGTGGAAAGTAATTACGAGGAGTTTTCTAAGCAAGGTAAGTCAGTAGCAGCTTGAACTTCAATACTTATTTATACAATTTTAGCAGGGCTCTTCATCTTTTAAAGCTAAATCTCAGTATGTGTAGTGGACAGTCTTCTCAAGTGTCTCAGAATATGGCTTTGAATGAAAAATAGCAACATACCTGGTCAAGTAGATTTGTACAGTGCTCTGGGTGCTGCTGGACAATACAGCTTTTCCTTCTCCAGTCCATTACCCCATTTTGCTCCGAGTGCTGTATGTTAAGGCTATCCAGTGAAGAACATTTTGCACTGCTAGTGCTGCTGAAAAGAAAAAAAAAAACAAACCCAAGTTATGCTGATGCGAACGAACTTGCAGGCTTTTCTTACCAACATACACATTTTTGCATTAGAAAACCCTTGGAATTTTCAAGCAATTTAAATTACAAGAATTCTTGTGCTCTGAAGTTATCCTAAGATCTGAACATAACTGGAGTTCCTTTTTCATTTGTCTACTATAATTTGATGCAAAATTCAGAACAACAGAATTTGTAGAGAACAGTAATTGAGAGAAGAGTTTCCTTGGATATTTCTACACACAAGGACGTGGGTAAATTTTCCAGATAGAAATGTATTTTGAATTCATTTTCTTTCTTCCTTATCGTTAATGACAAAGCTGGAATTACTTTGTAATCCCTATGCAGAATTCATGAGATATTTAAGAAAAGGAGTGCACAGTTACCTACAGATCACACTGCAGCTGTGTTTGTTTGAATTTCAAAATAGGCATCTTGCTTTATATTTTTACCTTCAGGACTGGCAGTTTTGAGTAGTGCTGGGAAAGGGGAGTTGCATTTGGCATTTACTTTGGACATTATAATGCCTTCCACTGAAGCTTCGCTCTACAGCAGCCAGTCAGAAGCAACATTTAACTAGGTCTGCCACCACTGGTCAACAAAAACTGCTGGAAAACCAGTCAGGGCTCTGACAGAGTCAGTAGGGCACATGGATGTATAAACTTTTCATGTCTCATATAAAATCATGCCTTACTGCTGACAGGATAAAAAAAAAAGAGAAAGAGTTAACACTTAAATTCTTATCAAAATACTCATGTTGGTAATTGAAAGTGCCTTTTAATTCAAGGCTATTGGCAAGCTGCTTAATCAAGGTTACTGCAATATGAAATGTTACTCAGTTCCCATGATGGCAGAAATCCAGCTTACTTGAAAGTACAAGACATGCTGAAATTCCAGTAGTTACTTACCAAAGACCTCTGTAAATAAGTGTTCAAACTACTTACAAGACGTACAATAGAATATAAAAAAAATAATTTAAGAAAATGGCAAGAACCCAAGAAGGTCCTAAAAGACAGACATAAGCCCCTGATTGAAAAGATGCAAGTCAGGTCACTTTAGAAATTCCACCACATGGAGGTAAGTGATTTCACTGCCAAATATGCAGTCATTTCATGGAAGCTGTAATACTATGTATACTTATTTAGTATGTCTGATCTCATTCCTACCAGTAAATTTTTGGACTTTTCAAGAGTAAGGCTGCAATATTGAACGAAAACAAAGGTAGACATATGCACAATGTAGCAATGCTATTTGAGATTAACTGCTCCTGACTCTAGACAGTTTTATGCATATTGAAAACAGAAGAGCTTCATTCTGTGCCATTTCTTTAGAACCCATAAGCAGCAGGCACAGATTTTAAGAAGACAGACACGGGAACAAGAGAGGAGTAACAGACCTCTAGCAGTAAAGTAGCAACCCATTTTCCCCTCTTAAACAAACAAAATAACAGCAAGCTAAAGGCATTTCTTTCACACAACTTCGTAAAAAGGTCTGTCCCTTGCTTTCCTACCTGAAAGATAGATCCTAAACTACAGTCAGCTTTAGTGTACTTCATTATGCAACGAATAAAACAATTTCTATACCAGTAACTACATGCTACTAAGTTTGGATCCTGCACTTACAACTTCATAGTAGGCTATATAACCACCAGTATAATCACACATATAATCACACTCTCTTCTTGAAGAAATGTAAGTCAAAAGTAGGACAGTTAAAAAACAAAACAGACACAAACTACTAAGTTGTCCGATTAGTGAGTTCACAAGAATTTTGTCTGTTAAAGATCTGTGGACCTTAACCAACACTGTTTTGTGCTATGTTTATATTCTAATTATTGCAACTCCAGGTAATTTTCACCACAAGATAAATACATTTTACAGATAAATAAACAAAACAAAACTGTAAGTCTCAATAAATTTTGTATCAATTTTTTCCCCTTAATTTAACTGAAGCAGTACACAACTATGTGCAAACATATATAAAGTTTCTGGTCAAAATACATTAATGGGTGAATTCACATTAGATACTTCATAGATCCACTTACAATTGACATAAACCAGCAAGGTATGCATGCATCTGCTAATAAGTAAGGGAAAGAATGGATTACTTTCTCCCATAAGGTCATCTTTGAAGCTACTCAAGCTTAAAATCCACAACACTGGAAACTTTCAGTGCAATCATGGGGATGTGTGCACATAGGAAAATACATGCCATACAGATTTACGCTACTCAGCTTATAAACACAAATCAAAACATCAATTGAAATAGTGAAGGTTCACAAAATTTTGGGAAACAAGAGATATCCAAATGACCTAGACCTACAGATTTAGAAATAGGATCATCTGAATTATTTTTCTAATACAGATTAATAACAACGTCACAAACAACAAAAATAAGACCAGAACACCCCACCCTAAACAAACAAAAACCTCATAAACAAGCTTTAATCTAGAAGGACACATACTCTCAAAGCACTAACAAATGAAGTTCAGACATGTAGCATGGTCACATTACATCTTAGTACCTACTTGGCAACAGGACCTTTTCCATTATGTTTCTTGTGAACTGATGTGTGTTGCATTACATCTGGAAAAAATAAACAAAGCGTGATTTCAATAGCAATTCCCATTTCTTCTTTTAGATCAATCCAATGAATTCATCTTTCCATCACTACCAGACACATAGCAGAAGACAGCTCCATTAAACAGTATAAGGCTTAATTTACAGTGCTGAAATTAACAGGTGTTGCATAGAGGACAGATCAGTTCCTACAGATGATATAATCAAGACTCTTTACCTTCCATTGTACAGAAGAATGAAACAGAAAGAGAGAAACTATGACAACTGTTAATGTTTGCAGACCTCTATATTTAACCCCGAAGACTAAATGTGTGACTGACTATCACTCAGCATGAAAGAATGGAGAAAGAAGACAGGAATGAGTCAGTAAAAACACAAAATTTTGTAATTTTTTCTGAACTGCTGAAATTATTCTCAAAACTATGTCACACATTCTGAATAACAACTGAAGACAAATCTTAAACAAAAGTATTGCATTCTGAAGGTCGAAATTCACTATGCAAGTAAAGCTTTACAAATTACATCCGACTAAAAGGGATACTGCTCCAAGGCCAGACTGGATGGGGCTCTGAGCAACATGGTCCAGTGGAAGGTTCTCTGCCTGTGATAGATGGGCTGGAACTAGATGATCTTGAAGGTCACTTCCAACACAAACTATTCTATAATTTTATGAAACAAAAATCAAGAACTTTATAGACACAGTTTATCCTTTTCTTTAAGGTAATTGTTAGATTTCAACAAAAGCAACTTTTCTTAATTCCAGCTGTGATGATCTTAGCATTCTTGGTATCATTTTGCCTGGACTCCTCTCAATGCTGCACATAAGTCCAAATTATGGTTTAAAAATCTAAGGAAAAAAAAAATCACAATTTTTAAGCTTCTGGTAACAGTTCACTAAAATGGCACGAAAGGTGTTCTGAAACGCATTTGTAGTTTCACCAGGTGTAGAGATTAATGTACATGAAAGTATGTGAAAAACTATTTGAGCAATTTCCAAATATATTTTAAATTTACTTGGTGTGTTCTTAACTCTGAGGAAGGATATGGCAATAATTTTTTTCATAAGAAAAAGCTGTTCAAACTGCATATGTGGATTACTGACTGCACGTAAGATGAACTGCAAACTTATTAGTTATTAACGTGTAACAGGATAAGAGCACTGTCATTCTGTGAAAGCTAGTGTAAGTGTTCCGTGGTCTTTCTTCACCTACCTGTCCCATTTCTCATCTTTTCCACCTACCAGGAGCTTTTACTTGTTTGCTACCAAAACCAATATAAAGCTGGCTTGCTGTTGCTTTCAGAATGAAATCACTGACCAGCCACTAGGCTGCTGCTTCCATATATGAACTGTTTTTAAGGTACTGGAAATGCACCAGCTTTTAGACTGTAATCAATACTCACTACAAACTTATTAACAGTCCACAGTATATAAAAGCAGCATAGGTTAAGAATAAGAAGAGGCAAACCCGAACATTCTTTCTGTGTAAAACTAGAAGCTAAATAAATTTGGCACATTTAAAGCAAAACAGTCTGCAACTCTTTAAATGCTGCACTCAACCCCGGTAACTGAAAAATAAATAGGTAAAGACGTGAAAAGCTACAAATAATCTCGGCTTAAGTAAATTGTAACATATATCTTCCTGCTTGTTCAATACAGTTGTGAACTTCTGCCTTCGAGCTATCCATGAACACTGCCACTCCTTGAATTACAGAGGAACCTCTTAAGGAAACTGCTGGAAGTACACAAAAATTCTTCATTTGCATAGCAGATTTCATTCAAATCTCTCATTTTGTATCAAGGAAGAAATCCGTCAAGTGCATGATTTCCAGAACTGAGTGTGGTAAAATATCTCAAAGAACCACTTTTGAGTACACAACTACCTTCCTCCTGACTTGAAGCTTCTGAACTGTCCTCCTTGAAGTGTTCTGGTGTCTTAACCGTCTTCAAAGAGGGTTGTAAGTTACCTGCAGAGAATAAAGTTCATGTAGTAACTTTATAGATCTTGAACAACTGGACAGTTCCTGAATGCTTGCACTAAACTGGAAACCAGGGAAATGGAAGACTGAACTTACTGGTTCGTGTGTGGCAACAATTTGAACATCACCTGCTTCAAAGTAGGCCATCTCCAAAAGTAAAGGCTCTTTAGAGCTACTTTTATTTTGAAGAAAATAGTATCCAAAATAATTTTAAAGCTATGCTGCAATTTCAAAACATCTTGATTGTGGTAATATTAGAAATATTCCTATTATGCTGCACTTCAGATTTTGCTTCATAATTTTTTTGTTTTACAATAGAAAATGGGAGGAGACCAATGATAGTTACTAGCATTCTTCTGCAACAAATTACACTCTTCCATCCTGAAATCATTCACCTGCCAAAAGACACACAGTCTGGGCTAAAGTCTTCTAGTGCCCTTAACACAGTCTTCACACACAGTTTTTGCCTTTTCATGCCAGATGGGATGAAAAAAAAAGAAGGAACAATATTAATAGTTTTGCTGGAGAATTACCACTGCCATGCTCTGAAAAAGAACTTAGTTTAATAATGAATCCAATTCTATGAGTCTACTCTTTCCCTCTCAAAATGATCCAAGTTACTGCAGGTAAAAGCATCTGAAAGCTGTTGCTTAGGAGCTTGAAACATTGATGGGAAGATCCTTCTGGATATTGTCTGCATTGAAGAGACTAAATCCCCAGAGATTATGTTCTAATAAAGTCTGTTGGAATCAAAAGTTTACTTCAACCTGAATAAGTGTCTAAACAACTCATGTTATGAACTAGGAGGGAGCTAATTGATTTCCTCCTTAATGGAACCACAGTGGCATAGTTAAACTTACTGAACATATTCAGTGTGAGATCCCAACTATTATTTAAGGTATAAAGACCTGCCTAGCAGGATTCCAGGAAACCCAAACAATAAACCCAGAAAAACACAGAGGCCAACGATAAAAAAAACCCTCATGAGCCACTTAATTGAAGTGATTTTGGCAACAGGTGGGATGAGTACTTTTGTCTTAGTACAGCTTCTATTAGCCTGTACCACAGGAAACGGGAATGCCAGCTACCCCTGATGAGTCATTCATGCTTAAATTACCCCACTAATTCTCTTCCACAAATGTTTTCTTAAAATCTAACTCAATGTCAGGGCCCTTTGCGTTGAGAGTCGCATTTGAGCTCAGGCTCTTGGCTGGGGTGCGCTGCAGGTACACCTGTGCCTGGCCACGTACCTTGCTGATCCTGTTCTTATCCCTGACCTACTGACTTTTTTTTCTGTCTTCACTTCAGACCTGCCTCACTGCTTTGGAATTGTCTGTAATCACCAGGTTCTTGCCTGCCCCTGGTCCTCATAAAAACTTAAGCCTACTGCTTACTTGGCAAAGAGAAAAGATCGTGCTCTTTACCATTATGACTCTTTGGTATTTGAAAATTTAAATCATCTTCCATGTGAGTCTTTCCTCCTCTCTGTGAAACAATGAAGTTCCTCATCTTATCTGTCATATGTTCCAGTCTGACAAATCCTCATGCACTTTCATATATCCTATTATTTATTATTATAAAAATTATCTCATATTTATGATCCCATTACAACCTGTAAGACTTCCTACAGAATTGCCATTTACCTATTTTACCTTTCCGATCTACCTACCTTGCAGATCATTTCTGCCCTGCACTAGCCCAAAAGTCACAAAAACCCCTACAGCTTCCACCCTAATCACAATGCCTCTATCTCATCATGGAGAGAAATACATTTGTCACAGATCGCACACATCATTTCATATTAAAGTCAGCTGTCATTCCCCTATTTTTTTCCAAACACATTTCAGCAGTCTGTTTGAAGTCTCCAACTTCAATTCCTTACTAAGATCTTGTGCAACTTCTGAGTCAGCAGCCTCATAGTCAATGCCTTAACTGAAAGAAGAATTGCACGCACTGAAAGAAGAAAAGACTCAACAGAAACAAAGATCACATCCTAAGGCATCCACAGAGAGAAGCCAAGCTTTGGTTGCACAAACAATTTGTAATACATAAGTAGGTAAGAGGTTCACCAAAGAAATCTCTGCAGTGCAAATGCTCAGAACACAATTCTATATATTATAAAATTAGGGCTATCCCATCACTTATGCACTATGTTATGTACCCCCCAAAAATCATAGTTTAAATATCAAGACAGATGCTTAATCTACAAAAGAAAACAAAAGCTTGGGTCAGTTCAAGCTTTTTGTTTAAGATATGGTAAAAGAAGTTGAACATACTCAATTCATAACTATCTATTTTAATAGCACAATAGTACAGAGGAAAAGAAAGAAAGAAAAGAACAGAAGCTGATGATACATAGTGTGTTCCAATGGTCAAAAGTCTGAGTATCTGCTCAAGCAACTATTCATTGGCCAGGAGTTCAGATGCAACCAGTGGAATATAATGCATCATGAATACAGGATTACAAAACTCTAATTAGGCATGAGAGCAAGAATACTTTTTTAAAGACTTTTTGTTATATAAAACAGTATTAGGATATTTCTTACTGTGAGTGTGCAAAGATTCTGATGAAATTGATTGGAAGAAGTTGTATACTCTCTGATTCTGCAGAAAAGCTTGCGATGTATTCGAAAATAGCTGCCTGAAATTTAAGTGAGAGTTTGTTAAACTGTAAATAATAGAATCATCAGAAGAACATAAAAAATTACTACAGTACCATTTAAAAGCAAAATAGGTAGTTCTTAAGAAGTCCAAACATTTCAAATTGTATGTTCAAAATAAACAATGTTAAATGTTACTTCTGAGCTTTGCTGTTCAGTGCTAGTGTAAGGCTGGAGCACAGCCACTACAAGAAATTGGTACGATGATTTTTTTTTTTTAATTTAAAAAGGTAGGTGCTTTGAGACATCCCAATTCAAACATTATAGCCACTCATAATATTTTATCAAAGAGGAGTTTGGACTAAGTCCAAAAGCACTGGACCTTATATTTTAATTTATTTTTTTTTTAAACTGAGAACACATTTAATTTCCCAAAACAATGCACGTCTTTCTTTAAACACATTTATATGGTTAAATACAAAGTTGAATTTACCTATAACGTCAGTAATTTAATTTCATAATTATTTTCAAGAGCAAAGGGTAGGATTCTCAATATTGCTCTGCACTGGCCTGAGTCTCTTCCCAAGAGGTCAGTGACAAATTCTATTAGCTTCAGATAAGACAACAGGCCAAGAATGAATGGTTTGCACTTCCCACACACTAAGGTTTCAGTAATTACTTGCCAGGAAGCACTATCCAGTTCTATTTCTTTGGAGGAGGGGCAGGGGAGAGCAACTTTTGGCTACTGGGCACATATTTAAACCTCTAAATATGTATATATTTATGCTAAAACTGACTCTGAAAGAAAATGGAATTTGTATATAATAATGCTATTCTCTTGAGATTATTCATGTAGCATTCCTGTATACTCACAACATAACTTGCAAATTGTAATTATAGTTGCTTACTATAATACAGTTGGGTGTGTTCAAAGGTTATCTTCAAGATGAGTCTTTTGGGTTCATAATTACTGTGCAGTGAGGCTTCGCAACCTTTCTGTATTACAGTACATTCCCTTCAGTCAACCTCTGTTTAACAGGTTTATTGATTTAAACCCACTATGTTTATTAGCCAAAACTGTTTGCACAGCTTTAGTTTTGGGTTGCCAATCAAGTCAATAAAGACAGACAAATACTACAGATAAAAATTTAAAAAAAAATAAAAATTGAGAAGGGAGAGGTTGAGGCTCCATATATTCTTTAACTAAAGTATTAGGACAAAATGTTTGGACCCACAGAACATTATGAGTAGGAGTCTGAAAAGCAGTGCCTGATTCTTCAAGTACCCCAACTCAAGAGACAGTGGCTAACATGATGAATAATTTGTTTCCAACAGGGTTGAACAATTCTGACAGAAAAGGACCAACATAACAAGATATCTGTAGCAAACAAACAGAACAGGTAGGCACCCCCAAATTCACATTGCTGTTCTGAGTTACAGATTTGACCAACATGTCCCACGTCCCAGCAAGCTCTCTCATCACTAAATAGTAGATTACGTGGTATGGGCTATTTTCTTATAATAGTGTGAGCCACTTCTAATATACATGCTTCTTATACACATTTATTACTGTTTATTATAGTATCATATATTACTGTTTATTATATTATCATATATTACTATTTATTATATTATCATATATCACTATTTATTATATTATCATATATCACTGCTTACTCCTTTTAAATTCTCTATCCTGTCATAAAAGTAAAACATATGCACTCGAGTTACTCTTTCTAGTATTTCTAAATGTACACTTGTATAATGGAGGTAATATCCTTGCAGAAGTGCCAATCATTGCTATATAACGCTGCTCAGGACAAATATTTTCGTAAGTGTAAAACTACTTCTAAGAAGGAAGTCAACTAAGTTTAATTAAAGCCTCAATTTCAAGAAAAGAGTAGAAGAGTCAAGAGTATCTATTTCATCACTGCATTCCCGTTTTCTTTGTAAATTGTTTTTAGGCAGTAGAATTTCCACCCTGTAGTCATGTAGTTTGACTTCAATCACACCCCAGATGATGCATTCCAGGCTATTTGCTAAAACATTTACCTGATTATGGGCTCAAGATCAGCATGCCTTCGTTCCTCCCTCTTCTGAAAACCCTGATTTAGTGCTCTTAAAATAGTCTTGTCAAATGCTTCAGAAGACAGTTCCTTTGGGAGCTGAGAAAAAGGTTAATATGAAAAATGAGTAGTTGACATTTTGTTCACTGTAAGTCTACATACCTTTTGGTATCAACAAGAAACTCTGTTGTTCCAGTTTGAGCAACATAATTTACAGACCAAAGGTATGACAAATCAACATCATTTAGTTTTGCAGGAGAAACACTTTGCTGTAAATCCTCATGGCAAATCCAGGTGTAAAACCGTTTAAAGCTCTATTTGAAAGAATTACAATCAGAAAATTACCAATACTATGTTCTTTTCCAGAATAGTTTACAACCTTTTTTGATTAATTTCTTTAAATACTTCACACACAGAAATTAGGTCTGAAAATAACATGAAAAAAATAACCAAGGAGGAATGACTGCACTGTACTCACTATCATCGCTTATCTATATAAAACTCTTTTAAAGGAACAGGAGAAGAAAGGAGACTGTTTCAGATATATAATACACTAGACTCCAGTCTATAGTTGCTTATCTCCAGGCAATACGGAGATTAATCAAAAGCAAGTCCCTGTCCAACTGCCATTAACAGTGAAACTTCTTATCAAAATTCATTATAACTGTTTCCAATAGCAGTACTACAAAGTGAGGTCTTCTGTTGTTCTAGTTCAGCAGGCAAAATTCTTGCTACTAAAGAGCAAGTCTATTTTAAAACAAAAATATTCCCCAGAACAAATTTTTTTCACATTTACAACTTCCAAAATAATGTACTTAAGTACATCAAAGCTGATCAAATTTGTTCATCTACATTTTTTGAAAAGAAACTATTTTAATTTTGGGGTAATTAAAAATAAACTGCCATAGCAAAAATGCTTTTTTACTAAGGTTCAAAGCTATTGCTAATGTGGTTAACACCTGCCACCAGTTATGACCAACAGCACAAAGTAATTTACACTAGAGCAGCACCTTCCTCTTGTATATTTGGAATACACCTGATCCAGAGTGCCAGCTGGATATTACATCCTGCTAGTGGTACAACAGCACAGCACTAACTAATCCTTGCACTGAATGCTGTGTCTGATGTAGATAATTGCTTGGTAACATAAATAAAAGGGACCTTTGGAATGGAGACAGACAAGTGCTGTTAGTATTAGATTAGTACACTGCTATAGTACCTGAAATGTCTTAGATATAAAATGAGAAAGAAGGGCAGAAAGCAGCTGTTCTTAACAGACCCTCTGGCTTTAATATGCACCACTGTGGAACTCTGACCAAAGAATTAGTATTAACTAAAAGGTACCAAGAAGTTCCTGCAGAAGCATGGGAATGAGCAAACCTCCTGTCCTAGTGTTTTGTATGTAAATTTGTCTCTGGAAACTTGTCAACTCTTTTTCTTTAAAACCTTCATTAAGAGGAATGCAATTCCTTCTGTAGTTAAAGATTCAGTTATACAAACCCAAGATTAGGTGCTTAACTTCAGCTAATGAGATAGCTTGGTTACTTACAAGCTTATTAATCCTCCATATATGTGGGTAACTTCCTACATGCAAAGAACTTTTCATGATTATCACCTAAGAGAAGGTGCTCTTTAAATATAAAGCATCCAAGTTATCCCATCTACTACCTTACTATTCCCACCAATGCTTCTATTCTGAAACAATTTTTACAATTATCTTACTTCTATCACAAGCAACTTTGGAATTTCCCATGAAGTATTTTGACCATTCATTTCTGTCCCTAGGAAATGAGTATACTACTTAACAATGCCATGCAGACTGGAAGCGAGAATAACAAAAAGGCAAAATGCAAGTGCATATAAAGTGGACAGCATTTGTACATCATGTTTTTTAAAGCAAGGTGTTAGTTTTACCCTGCTTTACTTAACAATTCTCTCTTTCTTCTATATTTATGGCTATCAAACCAACACAAATCAAATATATTTTTCAGCTCTGCACTTTCTACACAGAACACCTTGGCAAGCTCATAGCACTTGTCTTCCTCTTGTTCTGCCATCTCCTATATATCTAGACTCTGCACACAGAACACTCTACACCTGTCAAACAGGACAGCTCTGCAACATTCTGGATCCTATCTGTTTTTCTGACTCCTCCTCCTGGCAGCAAGTAGGTTTAGGAGGTCCATTTCAGACACTGGTGTTTGTATTACACATGTAGGAGAACATGAGGTATGCAGCTGATTGCTCATCCCAGAGCTGTACAGGATCCTGTATGACAGTCCTGCTTTCAGGGTTCTCTTCAGGAGCAGATGCATGTACCCTATGTTGCAGGATAACCCATCTGCAACAACACATGCCATCCCTAATTCAAATCCTCACAAATCAAGCTCTGGGAACTCTTGGAACTAGATATTCCAACCAGATTAAAGCAGTTGTGAATACTCACTGCTTCATTTCTACAAAGCCTGAACATAATGTTGATAATTTAAACAGTGAACAAGACAATGACCTTTGTACAGTCACTGGCTTTCCACTTGCAATTAACACTGCAGTTAAGAACACCAGATGCCACCAAAATATGTCCAAAGCAGAGCTTTCATTAGTGTCCAGAAGAGTTTACATATAGAATTTCCCATAATAGGTGGGACCCAAAGTATTAAACACTGGTAATGAAACATACAGTTGGAGGTCATTACGCAGACGGGGTCTGCACACGGCCTGTGCACACAAACGCATTCCCTGCTTGGGGCAGGGGGGAAAACAATGGAGAGAACTTTCAGGTTTTTTAAAGCACACACAGGCATATATAGTTGATAGATTTTCCTTGAATTTAACTCCCTGTGATGGTGAATAGGCCTGTCTTTGTTCTATTGAAGAATACAGAAGTTACATTACAACCTGTTATGCTTATGGCTCTGCCTCACTAATTAAAAATAACAAATGATGCTCTTAAAGGTCATTTTAACAGACACAGGAATAAACAGACAAGTATGTACCTATACATGAACTCTGTGGGGAGTATTAAAAACTCATCTGGTAGTTTTATGGTAGTTCAATTAAAACTGTAAGAGCCATTTCAGATGAGACAGTATCCTCGTGGGAAACTACCCAAATCTTCTGCAGAGTTGCTTCTTCTCTCAAGATGTGCCATCACAATATACATGATTTAAATGGTTAATACAACTGACAAGTACAAAAATCTGCTAACGTGCTTTTGCTTCTCTAATTACATCCCAGAAATCACAGCTCTCCTTAGGCCACTTCTGAAGTTACAAACTTCATGTGTAAACACTACTTTTATATTTCAGTACATACTTTTAGCAGGAATTCCTGAAGCTCCTGGTGTGTTTTTGTTACACATGTTACCGAAAGATCAGACCAGGTTACCTAATAAGGAAGGAAAAGAGAATGAGAAAAGTTTCTTTTTCCAAATATCATACCAATTAGCTGATCTGAACATTTCCATAATTCTGACAATCTCAGGATAAGAGATAACACTTGCAATTAGGTAAATACCAGGCAAAACAGGGATAATGGTGTGCTTTTTCAGAGACACATACTTTTGAGTGTATATTTTAGGCCCACTTTCATGTTATTTGTGGCTAAAGGCAGCATGAAAAAATCCAGGGAAATGCAATAAAGTCCCTGAAGATTACTGACTCAGAAAGAAGTCAGGCAGAAGGCTCTGTAATTACAGAACTTGTATCAAACAGACATTACTAACCACAAAAAACAGCTACCAGAGAAAAGGACTGTAGGTCAGATATCTCGGATTGAGTTCTCACTACCATTATCAGGAGTCAAAACGAAACAACAAAAAAAATTTGTTTATATTACTTACAAAATAATTTTATCTGCCTCAGACTTGAATCTTACACAGTCATATACAAGTTGTAGACTACAAGTCCTAAAAAGTAGTGCAAGCTACTAAAGAAGTTACTCAAGAATCAGACATAAAATTTCAGTAGCTTATTCTTCTGACACAACATGTAAGTAGTAAAACAGCACCCTCACATGCATATTTTGACAAAAATAAGTAAGCTTGGTTAGATGAGTGCTGCCCAGCTTTAAGCCCACTTCTGGGTTAAAGATTCCAATTAGTTAGATGGGAAGATTCTGTGTAATAAGAGTGGACATGAAAATTATAAACATTCACTTACTCCCAAGAGAAGACAGAATAATGTCAACTACTAATTGCCTTCAACTTAGTCCCCAGAAATGCCAGCTACCCTCAGTGCCCTGCAATTGTTGTTATAACCTTAAAAAAGCAGTGCCTGGATAAGCACAAAATGGTCTGTAGTGAGGAGCACAGTATATACCTGCACAGATGAGGAGAGAAAACTCTTTCCTTAAAGAACTGAGGAGTTTCAAGATTACTGATATACTTCCCAGAATATCTCCACATCCCCCTTTAACAAAGAAATTCAAAACCATTGTCAAATCTTAATTTTCATGCTGAATTTTCAAAATAGTGAATACTGATAATCCATATAGGATTTCTGTACAAACTTCTCCTATCTAGTATTATATTTTTCCTAGTAGTCACTTTACAGACTATCTGGAAAAAAGATCTCTGACAAGGCTGAAATATTTGGGCAGGTTAACCTTAAAGACTTTGAAGGCTACATTCCACATATTACTGTCCTCAACAAAAGAAGTGTGCATCCATTTAGAGAATACAATACCAGTCTCTGGGATCAACACATCAACTGTCAGCTCAAAATGGCTTTTTTCTTTTTACGTTTGCCTCTTTAAAGATCTCCAGTAACCCATGTCAAACGGCCAGTTACAATGTTTGATGTAAACCATTCTTTTTTGGATGAAAAAGGGGAACATTTAGTTTTATCGTCAGATCTGGTATACTACCAGACTCGCATCTACTGGCAAAATGACTCAAAATGTTAATCAGCCCTTATTAAGAAAATTACTGCTTTGATTCAATTAGAACATCACCACCAACAGCCTGAGCAGCTATTATTTAACACCTACAGTCTTTAATACCAGACCTCAATACCAAAAGTTTCTCTTATGTAGTATTAAGAAGCAGCATTTCAGTTTTAAAATTCACCCACTAATTGTTTCACATGCTGCCCTTAGCTATTACAATACATGAAGACAATACGAGGTAAGCCTTCCAGTTTGTGGTCACTTTCCACTTTACACTTTTTACCTAAACAAACAAACAAATGAACCAATTTCCAGTTTTCTCAAAAAGCACAAGAGCCATCCTCATACGGTAAACATCCAGAAATGAGATCAAAGATGACCATATGACTCCAAGCAATATATATAGCTGCAGACACAAGAACTGTGCTCCTATACCACTTGAGCGAATGACTGACTAGTGTCAGAAATCTTACACTGATTAGAGTTAGAAATTTCACACTGAAGCCAAGTTTCCTGGAATGGTATCCCATACCCAGTTACAGCTGGTGTTTTACACCTTCCCACCTTATGCCCACAATTACATAGAACACCTGATTTGCACACAGAAATCAAAAGAATTATAGGATAATTCAAAGAATCTCAAAATTGCCTTCTCAGCTGGTATTTGAAAGAAGCTGTATGTATTTATGGCACACAGATATCACGAAGACAATTACTTTAATATTCAAGGTTATTTGCTTACTTTGAATGTGTACTCCAAATGTTTGTCAGCCCTTTTTCTTGGTACTCCTTTCAGGGTTATCTTCTCAATGTGTACAGCTGAAAGAAAAATACCTTATTGTGCACTCCAAAACAAGAGTCTGAAAATGTTCCCTACTTCCCCAGGCACTCTGAACACGCCTGTAAGCTATTTCCTGACTCACGCAGCCCTACTCTTCTTCAGGAGCTGTTTCATTGTAACAAACTGCCAGGGGGCAGGTAGAACCTTGTTCTCACAAGTATTTCCCTGGCCTAACCAAAACCTATTCAGTGAAGATCATGGGACTCTGTGCATTATCTGAGAGCTTATTTAGACCAAAAGTCACATAACTACAACAACATAACCACTATAAGTGAAAAGACAATAAAGAAAGTCAAATTGCATCTTTATTCAAGAAGTAACAACCACTGAGAAAAGCGAGACACAGCGTCTTCCACACCCCGGTTTCCGAAACATGGAGTAATTATGAGGACAAACTAAGGCCAAATAACTACATTTCTGAAGGGCACTTAGGTGAAAGGAAAGAGTTGGGGAAGGCCTGAAGAAGACAGAAATAGAGTGTTGGAAAACAGAAAACAAAGAGAAGAAGCATAAGGCTACTACAATCATACTGTAAAGAGTGTCATTAAACTCAACTGAAATGGAAGAAAGGTACTCTGAGTACTTGCTGCTTTAACATTCTTTCCCCAGAGCCTACTCAGAAATAGGCAACTTCTGGCTGTGACTTGGCAAGCAGCAGCACCATACGGCTGTCAGGTCCTGGAGATTTTCTTGCAGGCACACAGCATTGTTCGGGTAATACTCCATATAAAAACCCTTATGTGGCTGAGATGAGCTTTCCACTTCTGGTGCTATGCTGGCCAAAGAATTCAATAGAATTTTATTCCAGTACAAGCCTGAACACATCTTTATATGTAAAAAAATTTTATTTAAAAACAGCTTGACCTGTGCTACACCATCAGTGCTTCCTTTCAGAGCTTTCAAGATTTTTTGGAGGAAAGTGGGTTGTGTTAATAGCTAATGTTTTCCTTTCAGGTTTTATCTACTATTTTAAAGTAGTTTTTTGGGAACTACTCATAACAACAATATCTAAAAAAACCCCAAAAACCCCCTCTAAGCATATGTTACAAAGCTTATTCTGGGATATTACCATGTAATATAAGGTCAACATTTCTTAGTGAATTTTGTTGAAGTTACAATTAAAGTCTCATCCCCATCAAACATGCCATTTCTAAGAGAACTAAGTATTGGCAATTTCCTTAAAGGAAAAATAAGCCAGCATATAAGCCTAGTGATAGTGATACAGCTTCCAATTCTGTCAGCAGAGAGACAAATACTGAGTGTGCTGGTATACACTGGTAATCCTCTATCTGGGAGTTAAGGAACTAGACAATCATTTCATTTTTAGCAGTTAATGAAGACTAATTATTACAAAGCAAAGAAATCTGAGATGAGCTAAGGATGCCAGACAGTAACATACATCAATGTTCTATGAAAAGACAAATGTTTAGTGACCTTAATTTTTACCTGTCTGGTACAGATTAAAGTGCTGTTCGAAGAAGGACCACCATGTAATGTGAGTTTTGGTGCAGTAAAATTTCTTAATGGCTAATGTTAAAATTGATACCACAGTTCATATGCATAAGTTAATTAAAAACTTGATTCCCATGACTGGAACTGAGAATAGTGGTTTAAATTGCATTTCACTACATGCATATATTTAGCATACATAATTAGGAATCCAAGACTATTAACATTCCCAGACAAGCTTTATTTCTCTAATGAGACTGTGCTTATTTTAAACTACTGAATGTTCTCAGGGCTAAAAATTTGTGCTCAGGTATAAAAAAATTATATCACAATGCAGTACCTTCAACTGCCTTAACTTCTTTATGTTGTTCTTGCACACTTCATTGTAATATGTGATACAACAGGTAATTACACCACTGTTCCTGCACAGCTTCAGTTCCACAGTGTCAACAGACTTCTTTAAAATTCTGCTTCCACAATCACATTTTAAATATTCTAAATGGCTAGACCAAGAAGAAATGTTTGAACATACAACCCAATGAGGCATGTTACATCTCCACATCCATTCTGGACACAACACAGGATGATTAAGTCAAGCATGTACACATGACACTGCTTCCACTTTAAGTCTAAGTCAGATTTTAAAATTCATATTCATCACAGCTGACAATAAGTTTTACTTATTTCAAACCCAATAAGGAGATTTCTGTAGCAGGGACTCTCTGTCACATAACTGGGTAGCAAATATCACAAAATTATTCTGATCCTTCACTGGGGTTTCTCACTATGATAATACAAATGCACAGAAATACTTAAGCTTTTTGCTAGATTAAATTATTCAACTTTTCTGTGCTTCTGTTACTTAATTCAAGAGTGTTACTAAAGAGATTCTCCCTTTGTGTTTCTAATTCATGAATATGAACACTTTAAACTCCGTAAAAGGATTTGAAACAGGTTTGTTGTCTGTAATCTGCCATAATCTTTCTCTGTTGGTTTTCTTTTTTGTCAAGAAATCAAAAACTCTCAAATTGCTGGTCTTCAAAGTGCAATTAAATCTCCACAGTAGAGATGTTTATGAGGACAAAATAAATAGCAATTGTTTTCCCATATTGTCAGTTCTTTACTATCTGCAGACTATCTGTTGACTAATTTTGAGTAGACAAGTGATTGGCCAATCCTGTTGGAGAATAGAGGGTAAGAATAAATCTGTTTTCAATAATGCTTATTTCTTCAAAGAGAAGAAATTGTGCTTGCAGTTGCATATTAGAGTTGTTTATGCTCAGAAGCCTTGTTCTCATTCTCCCCAACAGAGCCAGAAGACTGACTTCTATGAAAGCCTCTCACTTCTCCAAACTGCCACTTCTATAAAACCTGCTAATACGTGGGTTTTCTTTTTTTTTTGATTAACCAAATATAACTGAATCAAGCAGCAAAATCCATCCATTGTTTCACATTATCTTCCTGTTTAGTTTTGCTTAAAAAAATCTAAATACTCGTATTAACACTGTTAATAAAATTGCATTAAATGTTCTTGTTTTCTTCCAAATCCCATCCCTTTTTTCCGTGGAAAGCCAACTTGCAATCAATTTTCATGCTTTCATTCACTATTAGTTAGCAGTGAACATGAATGACAACTTGTTAGAATAAAGAAAAGACCAGGTACGCAGCAGAGAAGCTATTATACTTAAAATCCTTGCAGATTGCTTCTCCTTCGGATGAACAGGAAGACAGACACAGGATTTCTACAACTCCAGGCAAATTTTAGTGTTCATAAAACCCCCTTGCAGTGTTCCTCAAACTGAACTGCAGACAACATACCTTCCCGCTGAGGTCTGTGGGAAGCCATCGGTAGTCCATCATGAGGTGCTGTGGTTCGTTCTAGCAAACTGGTCTCATTACTCGACATGCAGTCACTGTGAGAGAAGTCATTCTAAATAGAGAAGGGAAAAAAAAGGAAGAGTCTTAATAGAATGTCTATTATTAAGCCTGACTCTAAACAGTAAATGTTAAAAAAAAGAAAAACCAAACGCAAAACCCCCAACAAACCACGCTTTACTTGGTATTCTTCAGGAGAAAAATCCTGACAGTGGCAAAAGGATCATCATTCACCACTTCAGGTTTTTTTTTCTTTCTCTCTTTCTTTTTCACTTTCTTTCTTTCTTTTTCTTTCTCTCTCCCTTTCTCTCTCTCTCTCATTCAGGATCAAGAACACTGCTCCACTGGAAGACCTTCATAAAAGATGGGTAGAGGAAAAATATAAATCTCCAGACAGTACTCTTTAAATACAGGAGGTAAAAGATTCTGAAATTAAGTGCCAGAGTATATGTGGTTTTCTTCTCCTCAAGGACTTGTGCAATGGGATGAGACAAACCATCAGCCAAGACTAGTTACCTCGTTTGTTAAAGACTGTCACAACAGAATGACCAGAATGAGGAAGCACAGAGAGGGCAAAAGACATCTGAATCCCCCACAGTTTGCCAATTCTTTAACAAACTTCTTCAGACGTGACAGATGTAAAGCTGGTCTAGTAAGATGAAACCAGCTTTAGGTTGGTGCATCATTTGTAGCATGGGTATAAACTGTGGCAACACCTAACAATACATCCAAGCTATGCAGACCCAGGAGTGTACAGGCATCAAACCTGCCCTGGGCACGCTGGTAACCTAACTTTGATCAGTGACATCAGTAGCAGTGCACAGTTAGCAAGTGCCTTTAGACTGCACTGCAGATGGTCTGAGGAAGTAAATGATGTTTTAGCTGTTTCATCTAAACCAGTGTATGGCTTGTGCTCTACACTGAGTGTCAGTAATTTCAGGTTTCAAAGCCATCAGATTTAAAATACAAAGCATGCTTTGTTTCTTCAAGATAAAATTCATACCAGTCCCAAGTCAGTCAGTAAACAATCTCAACAACCATGTAATAAATTATGTGTGCAAGGTCAGATATGGAATAAGAAATGAAAATAGCTGTATGTAAATGAAATTGCAGCAAATTTCCAAGTCTATTTCACTAAAAAACAAACAAACAAACAAACAACAAACAAATCAACACACAAGCATGTTCTGGAGAGGCACTTTCAGATCTCCTCAAAAATCACACTGATACTGTTTTGGAAGACATTTTATAACAACAGTGGACATAACTGAACCAAAGTACCTGCACTTTTTAAGTGCTAACTCCTGGTCATGCATTATTCACAGAAGTGTTGGCATTTGAGCACTAAAGCTACCCTGTTAAAACTCTGATCCATGTAAGACTGTCCATAAAAAGCAGAACTAGTAACTGGCTATGTCCAAACTAAGAAGTTTAGCACATATTTTGTTGTGAGAGTTAAAGTATTTCTGTCAGGAAATCAAACAACTGAACCAAGATTTCTAGTGAAGATCAATGTCAATTCTCCGCTAGAGATAAGGTCTTAAACTACAGCAACATGCTGTGCCAAAAGTAGTTTTAATATTTTTTGTCCATACTGCATACAGAGGATGACAGACATCTGGATTAACTCTGACAGAGACTCTCAAACTGTTCTATTTGTTTTACTTTACTAGGAAGTCTTTTTCCACCTCCGAAATGATCAGCGTAAGGGCTGAAAGCACTGCTTCATTCATCCCACCTAATCACCTTATAAAAAATTCACAAATAGATCTAAAACCAATCAAATTTACAGTCAGATCTTTTGCATTCAAAGTCAGGCTATTTGTTTTGATTAACAAAAAAATAAGCTACAGTCTGTTCTAAAAAAAATAATTGCTAGTTAAGAAGTCAATGAAATCATGAGCAGTTTTTAGGAGAGATGTAGAAATAAGATTTACTTCAAAGAAGTATTCTGTTCAGCTCATGTCAAAGAAGCATTAAATGCTGCTCCTGCACCTAATACTACAAAACTGCTTCTCATATAGCACATACATCATCTTTGTAACAGCATTCAAGTACTTTTGCAGTGAATTATTCTAGATTGGTTACTTTTCTATCCATGGCAGCATTCTGTAACAGGTAAGCTACAACCACATTTGAAGGCCGCCTCTAAACTGCAAAATATTACACAGTTCAAACCTGTATTTAAAACAAGTCCTGATACTGACGGTTATAAAATCATAACTATAAAAAACCCTCATAATTTATTCACTTGAATTCTTTGCCTAGAAAGTTAAAGCAGTAATATGCACTGTGTGTATTTTTGTGACCACTGGCTTTCACAACACCCAGTGCAGTACAGGAGGTAAACAGCAGGGAAATCCAGGGCAGTCACCACGTTACCTCACAGCCTGCAAGGGCTGTTCCTGTGCAGCTCCAGATCCTGTCTTAAGCTGCACTACAACTCTTCACTTTTGCTGGTACCTACTGTGACAGTCCTATATCAAACACTCACAGGTACCTAAAATACAAGCGGCACTGTCAGAGCAGACAACTCCAGCACTCAAGTGACTGGAAAGTCTAGGCCAGTCTCAAGGGCCAATGAATATTAAGAGTGACATTGTGTGTTGCTATCTGGTGCCAATCACACCACAAACACAAGTCCTTTAAAACCCAGTATACTGCTGAGGAAGGTGATTCTGGATGTTACTAACTGTGCCAGTCATTTCCTGTCAATGAATAAAACTGTATATTCTGTATTCACACCACACATGCAAGTGTAAGGTTAACTCTTGCATAAGGTTATGTCACTGTAAGGCTTTCACGTCTCATGGTGCTGCTGCTAATGATTAAAATATAGTGAAGCAAGAAATGTGGGTGGCCTCAAACCAGATGCCAGATAATGCATTTAATAATCACACAGGTCCTTGTGACGGGCTGGAGAATTAACTACATTTTTCCTTGAAAGTGAAATGAGCTGAGAGAGTGCTCTAAAAATTGTCTGCTTTTACTATCTAGACCAGAGTTTTGCATCAAACAAATCTTTCCTCATATGGTTGAAAGCAAGTACCATATTAAAAAAACAACCTTATCACTTGAGATGTTTCTGAGGACTGCATCATAGAATCATGGAATGTTTTGGGTTGGAAAGGACTTTAAAGCTCATAGTTCCAACCCCCCTGCCATGGGCAGGGACACCTTCCACTAGATGAGGTTGCTAACAGCAAGCCTGGGCTTGAACACTTCTAGGGAGATGGCATCCACAACTTCTCTAGGAAACCTGTTCAGGTGCTTCACCATCCTCACAGTAAAGAATTTCTTCCTAATATCTACGATGCAGTTGGATTTCTGAGCTAGAAGCACGTTGCCAGGTCACACTGAGCTTCTCCTCAAACAACGCCCTCAAGTCCTTCTCCTCAGGGCTGCTCTCAATCCATTCTCTGCCCAGTTTGTATTTGTGCTTGGGATTGCCCCAGCCCACCAGCAGAACCTTGCACTTGGCCTTATCGAACTTCCCGAGATTTGCACAGGCCCACCTCTCAAGCCTGTCAAGGTCCCTGTGGATGCCATCCCTTCTCTCTGGTGTGTCAACTGCACCACACAACTCGGCATCATTGGCAGACTTGCCGAGGGTGCACTCAATCCCACTGTCTGTGTCACCAACAAAGATGTAAAACAGTGCCAGTCCCAATACCAACCCCTGAGGAACACCACTCATCACTGGTCTCCACTTGGACCAGTGAGCTGTTGAAAACAGCTGTGCGACCATCCAGCCAATTCCTTATCCACCAAATGTCCATCTGTCAAATCCATGTCTAGCCAGTTTAGAGACAAGAATATCGCATGGGACAGTATCAAATGCTTTGCACAAATCCAGGTAGATGATGTCAGTTGCTCTTCCCTTATCCACCAGTGCTGTAACCCCATCGCAGAAGGCCATCAAATTTGTCAGACACCATTTGCTCTTAGCAAAGTCATGCTGACTGTCACCAAACACCTCTTCATTTTCCATGTGCCTTAAGGGGATCTGTTTCATGATCCAGGCACAGAGGTGAGAGTGACCAGCTTCTAGTTCCCCAGGTCTTCCTTATTTCCCTTCTTAAAAAAGGGGGTTATGTTTCCCCTTTTCCAGTCAGTGAAAACTTCATCAGACTGCCATGACTTCTGAAATAGGATGGATAGTGGCCTAGACACTTCAACTGTTAGTTGCCACAGGACCCGTGGATGCATCTTATCCGATCCCATTGATTTGAGCACTGTCATGTTCCTTACATGGTCTTGAACCTGTTCTCCTACAGTTGATGGTTCTTCATTCTCCCAGTCCCTGACTTTGCCTTCTGCCACTTCAATGGTGTGGGTTGGAGAAAGTGATGGTGAAGACCAAGGCAAAAGAAGTTACTGAGTACCTTGACCTTCTCCATATCCCAGGATTTAGTTCTATCAGGGCTTTAGCTTTCCTAACATGAATGCTGGCTGCTCAGACAGTTTGTATTTTTCTCAGGGTACCTATCCCTGCTTCCACTCTTTATAGGCTTCCTTTTCACGTTTGAGTTTGTCCAGGAGCTCCTTGTTCATCCACACAGGCTTCCTAGTGTTTTTGCCTGACTTCCTCATTCATTGGGATGCATCGCTTCTGAGCTTGGAGGAGGTGATCCTTTAATATCAATCAGTGTTCTGGGGTCCCTCTTCCCTCCAGGGCTTTATTCCGCGGTACTCTACCAACCAGGCCACAGTCTGCTCTCCTAAAGTTCAGGAGTGTTTGTGTCTCAAGGTCCAGGGGTGTTTGTCCATAACACAAGAATCATATCTCTAAAGTGGAGATCCTGCTGAGAAGAATGTTGCCCTAATGTCATATGAGCTGAGCAGATTTCAGCCAGCCTACACATGACAGATGTCCAAACTCTGCCTTTTATCAAGGTAGATGGCTGATCAAAAAACATCATGCTGGCACTGGTTTGGCAATATGCAATGAAATCTGTTACTGGACAGCCTACTAATCATCATGAGGAAGCGACTGATGCACATAAGTCTTCTGATGTTTGCATTGTACTTTCATAAAAGAACTACTCATTCATC